GCTGTGGCCTTTGGGGACAGTGGGAGGGCAAAGTGCCTGGGAGGTAAGACTAGGGTGGTGACACTCCTGGCTGTCTGCCTTCTCTGGGCCTCATCTACTACCTTTCTCCACCAGATGGGGGCCCTGGGCCTGGGAAGGCCCCCTGGCCAGGAGACTTCGGGACCACAACAAAGGAGAATGGTGGCAATGGAGCCTCCGAGGAGCGGCCACGGGAAAATGGAGATGCCCTGCCTTGGGAGGGGTCCCTGGGCCCCCTTCCAGGCCTTTCTGCTCAGCCTCACAAAGGCGAGTGGGCAGTCTCACACCTCACATTTGCTCCATGGGTGGTGGGGCTCGCTAGGGCAGCCTGGTGCTCTCACCGCCTGCTTCTCATGACACCTGCCCTCCTGACTCACAGGCATCCTCAAGAAGAAATGTCTGCCCACCATCAGTGAGAAGAGCAGCCTCCTACGGCTACCCCTGGAGCAGGGCACAGCGTCATCTCGGGGCTCCTCAGCCAGCGAGGGCAGCCGGGGTGGGCCCCCTCCCCGCCCACCACCCCGGCAGAGTCTCCAGGAGCAGCTGAACGGGGTCATGCCCATCGCTATGAGCATCAAGGCGGGCACAGTGGATGAGGACTCGTCAGGCTCCGAGTGAGTGTGGCTGGGTGGGCGGGACAGGGTACAGCCCCGAAGAGGCCCCAGCCGGGCTCAGAGCGCCTCCAGGCCTCCCCGGCCTGTCTGGTTGGCAGTTGGAGGATGACCGGGTAGAGCATGGCCCAGCTCCCTTCCTGCGACATGCCCACAAACTATGGCGCCTGTGGGGTCGGCCCAGCCCAGCATCTGGCAAAGTGAGGGAGGTTGGGGAGCTGGGGTTGCTTTTCTGTTTCCTTCTTCTGGTGGAAGCTTCTCACTGTCCCCTCTGCTCCTACTAACTCTCTGTCTGCCTTTTCTGTCACTTTCCTTTCCTGCCTCTCCAGATTTCTCTTCTTTAACTTCCTGCATTAACCCTGGGCCGGTGGTTCCTACACCCTGAGGCTCCTTTACCTTCCCCAGCTGCACTCATGCCTCACTCCTGTCTTGTGCTTTATCCTGCCCCTGCTCCCCACCGCCTGCCCGCAGCAGCGACGAAACGTCCATCTGAGGAGCCTGGGCCTTGCCGGGAGGGGCACCCAACCCCACCCAAGGCCATCTAGTGCCAACTCCCTCCCCTACCATCCCCCTCACTGCACTTTGGACCCCTGGGGCCAACATCTCCAAGACAAAGTTTTTCAGAAAAGAGGAAAAAAGAATTTAAAAAAGAATCTCCACTCTTCATGACTTCAGGGATTAATTTTTTTTATATGCTGGAAACTGACTCCCCTTTCCCTTCCCAAAGAGGATAGGACCTCCCAGGACGCTCCCCAGCCTCTCCTCGGTTTCCCATCTGCTGTGCCTCTGGGAGGAGAGGGACTCTTGGGGAGGGCCTGCCCCTCATTTGCCATCACCAAAAGGAAAGGACAAAGCCACACGCACCCAGGGCAGTGAGCCCTGCAGGCTGCACCGGGCAGGCCTCAGTATGGCGAGGGCATCAGGGCAGAGGGCGCACCTCAGCCAGCCTGTGCCACCCTCCCAGGAACTGAACAAGCCCTGTTCGGAGAGGGGGCAGAAGGACTCAGCGCCCCCGGACCCCCAAATGCTGCATGAACACATTTTGAGGGGAACCCGTGCCCCTGGGCAGTGGCCGGGCCACTCCAGCCCCTCTCCTTTCCCTGGACTCTGGCCTCGTGCTGCAGCCCAGGCGTTTGCTCAGTTTGCTGACCCAAAAGTGCTTCATTTGCCTGCCCGACCCGCACGTGGGGAAGGCCAGTCGTGTTAAGTTGCGCTTCTTTGCTGTTGTGTGGGTGGGACGGAGAGTAAGAGTAAATACAGTGCTGACTCAGTTGCTCCGAGCGCAGGTCTCAAGTCTGGGTTCTGGGGTCCACTCGCCCGCCCCCAAGATCAGACAAACCCCACTTTGTCTGACATGCTGTAGCCACTGAGACATGTTCTATTTTTAACCCCTTCTGGGAATTGGCTCTCTTCTTCAAAGGACCAGGTCCTGTTCCTCTTTCTCCCTCACTACTTCCCCAGCTCCCTGCGAAGAGAGAGTTAATATATATTTTTTATTTATTTGCTTTTTGTGTTGGGATGGGTTCGTGTCCAGTCCCAGGGGGTCTTGATGTGGCTGTTACAGGTTGGGTGTGTACCCAGCAGTCCTGGCATGGGGGCCTGAGGCCCTTCCCCTTACTACAGGCTGTCATCTCCTTGCCTCCCCCACCCCACCCCGCCCCAGTTTTGCCAACTGCTCTTCATTTGAGTTGCCATTTATGCTCAGCATGTATTCCAGACCTGTCACAGACTTTCCTCTGGAGCAGGTGGCTAGAAAAAGAGAATGTGGGCGGAAAAAACGCTCCTGTTTCTCATTTGTAAAGCTGGTTTCTGGCTCTCCTGCTGTGGATTCTCCCCCTGACCTCTCCCCTCAGCAATTCCTGCAAAGGGTTAAAATTTTAACTGGTTTTTACTACTGATGACTTGACTTAAAAAAATACAAAGATGCTGGATGCTAACTTGATACTAACCATCAGATTGTACAGTTTGATTGTCACTGTAAATATGGTAGGGTTTTGTGTTTGTGTTTTGTTTGTTTTGTTTTTTCCATTTCCCCATACTACTGAATAAACTAGTTCTGTGCGGGTTGAGCATTATCATCATGTGCTTCTGTTTGGTGCCCTACCCTTTCAGAGGGAGGGAGGTGTGGCTTCTGGAAAACAAGGGCAGGAAGGGCCGGGAGGTCAGGGGACTCAGATAGCAAGTGTTTGGTGAACTAGCCCCTCTACTGACACCCCCAACAGTGCTCCCTAAATAACATCATCGGTGCAGAACTCGTGTCCTGGCATTTCCAAGATGACAGGAAAGTATCATTTTTGTGAGGACAGGAGGGACTCGTTCAGCTGGAGAGGCTGCACAGAGCAGGCAGGTTTCCAACCCAGCCTCTTAGGGCTGAATCCTTCGAGCAGAATTCAGGAGGTAAGGAGGGACGAGCTGAGAAGTTATGGGAATTTAAAGGTGCTCAGTCACTGGGGGCCTCCTAACTCCACTTCTCTGGGCCATTTTGTTTTTACCCATTGGAAATGAAGCAACTATTTATTTTCTAGACAACTCTGTATTCCGTGACATTTCTTCTCTTCCCAAGTTCTGTGTTTTTCAGAGTTCTGTCTGACATACTAGACAGGGAGTTAACAAGGGGACAATAGAGGGTAGTGATCAAAAACACAAACCTGGGAACTAGATCAAGTGACTTAATCTCTCTAGGCCTTAGTTTCTCTGCCTGTAAAATGAGGAAGATAATAGCATCCACCTATTTGAGCTTTTATGAGAATTAAATGAGTTAACAGATGTAACATGCTTAGAACAGTTCATAGTGCGTTATAAGAGGCCGATAAACTTTTTGGTTTCCCTCACTGTTGCTACTGGTTGGGGGCAGGCAGAGGTGGAGTGCAGAAAGAAAAAAAATAGGAAGCGAGACTAAAAGGGATGGAAGTAAGCAGGCAGGTGAACAGGAAGGGCCACTGCGGCAGGCAGGGCTTCTTCCTAGCTGGCATTGCCTAACGCATGTTGCTCAAGCCGGTTTGGAGCAAGATGGGGCTGGGGACGTACAAAGCTCAAGACTAACCAAGAGGGTCAAACATGCCTTGCCATCTTCGACCACCAGGTGGCAATAGCACGTGGGTCTGCTGCTCCTTTTGCTTCTAATGACCCACCAGGGCCTGACCCACCCACTCCTAGGCCACACCTGCCATTTGCTGGCCACATCTAAGTGTGTGCCTAGGCTTGCCAACTTTCCAGTGCTTCTGTCAGAGCATATAGTCAACTGGGCCTACTCACTAGTGCTGGACAGAGCTGGGAAATACACCTGAAGTGTTCTTGCCTCTACCAAATTTCTCCAGAGCCAAGTATTCAGTGTGTCTCCACATCCTCTTCCCCAACTCAATTCTTGGAATCCCAGAGGCTGCAGGGGTTGCTGCAAGAGACTGAGGGAAAGGTGAGTGTCCAGGCAGCTGTCATTGTGATGTAGGTGAATGTGTGAAATGAACCTGAAGATCAACCATAAAAAGGAGAGTTGCCTCCTTTTTATGAAAAGGAAGAGGGCCCCTGGCCTGGGAACAGAGGAAGGCCATTTCGGTGCCTAAGTAGGGTGCTTCTGGGCATATGGGAGTGGGGGTGGGGAGCACCAGCAGGCACTCCACTCTTTGCCCAGTTGCCAGCTGGCTCCTTAAGTCATGGCCTGGCCTTCAAAACTCACAAGGTATTGAGTTGGTTCTGATTGCAAGAGTCAATAGCTGCGAGAAAAGGGAGACCATTCGTTAAATCTGTTAAATGAATGTTTGTGGTGCATTCAACAGCCATCTTGCACTCAAATATTTTTTCAATAAATGAATGAAATTCTCTGCCACATACAAATCACAACACTAGGCACCGCAAATCTGGGTGCCGGCCCTCGAGTCCACTAGGGGAGATAAGAGGAGAACAATTCTAATGAAGTAAGGTGGAGCATGATGGGGTGTTCCAGTATCTTCTACCTGAGGCAATCAGCAAAGCTGAATACCAGGGTACCCAGCAAAGGACCCTCTCATTGTATAAGTACAGCAGACAAGATGCTGAGGACTTCTAGGAGGCTCCATTTTCTTGCCACAGGAGGACACCCAAGTTTAGGATCTAAATAATATATAGACCTTGGCTTGAATAGCCTCACATACTGTGAAATAAACTATACTTAACTTGATCTGGACCTTTTAATAACATACAAATCCTGGGAAAAGGCAGCCTGTTCCCATCTAATGCCAAAAAGGGGGGTCATCACGGCTTGATTAGCTGGAATCTCAAGGCCCTAGGGTCTATTCAGGCCCTTGCCTGAGAAGCCCATCCTGGCTTCCCCATTGGAATTACATAGGCGTTTACTCCAAATTTTTTAGAAATTGGACCAAAACTTACTTTCACATATGCAGAGACTATAAAAATACATTTATTTTATTTTAGAAAAATGCAGGTCAACAGAGTAAGCTTATCATAAACTGGCCTGTTAAGAGTCACAGAATTCACAGGAAACAAGTTCTGGAAGCCAGGGGCCTGCCTCTGCCTCTCCAAATAGGCTGGAGTCCAGTGGAGGATATGATTCAGGAGGACTGGTCCTCAGAGAGCAGGGAGGTTAGCTGCAGAGGCCATTCGCATGTAAATGTCCAGTGAACCCACTGCCTGGGAAGATCAAACTCTCTGGGGCCAAACATGGAGTTAGGGTGGATGAGGACAACCCACTCTTCAGCATTTCTCATCTTCCATTTGTTAATTTCACGGCTGGGGTGACCTCTTGTTCCTAATCTTCTTTGAAACCAGAGAGTTTGAATCCCCTCCAGCTTAACCCTAATCCACTCTGCTCTCATGGTCTCTCCTCCTGGGGTGCCAGCCCTGGTGGCAACTCTTCCTCCCGCCCCTGGGCCAGGATCTGCTGAAGCCGGAAACTGCCTCCAATGAGAGTGCTTAGGAGACCGAGTAGAGTGAGTCCAGGCAGTGACTGTAGTGGTTTGCTACTGACTTCTCACTGGCTGTCCTGATCTCTTTACCTAAAGAGACAGGAGGAACTGCTTTATTGCCCTTCTTCCTCAAGCCTCTATGCCATCCAGCTGAGTTCAAGTTCCTCGGGCTAGGGAGAAATGAAACACTTGGACTCTCCAGGCTTCCCTCCTCATCCTCATCTTGCCACACGGGATTCAGGGCTGATGTGTATAACAGCGCAGAAGCCCAGGAGACAGTGAGGAGAGTGACAGCATCTCAACCAGTCTTACCTGGTAGGTCCTGGGACTGCGACTCTCCTGGGGGGCTGCAGATTGCTGCGAGTGGCACCAGTAACGGGAAGATCTGGTCGTTGGGAAACAGGAACTTGATGGGAGTTTACAAAAGAAATGAATTAGCAGAAAGTTCAAATGACCTTCTCAAAATGAAATACTGGTTGAAGGCAGAGTTTGGGATCGGTGCCTTTCCTCCTACCCAAAGTAAAGAACATGAAGTTATTTGAAAAACCAAGGCTCAAACTCTTGGCCCAGTCCCAAATTCTCTCCTCAACTCAGTCTCACCATCTTCAAGGAGAGTTGCAATGAAGATGGAAAAAGTGGTCATTGTTACCAGCTCCGGGAGGGTACGGTCAAGCTGGGCAAGGGTAGGTATTCTTCCTCCTGACTTCTTACCCTTATGTCCATTCTTCCTACCTCTGTGCCCAGTAGTGCTTGGTTTTGGAAGTCCTTTCCGAGTTGACAGAGAATCTGGAGCTAGGGCACCTTTGCTGGGTGGTATACTCCGGCTGGTGAGTGGCACTCGGCTGGCAGGCCTGGGGATGGCCGAGGGAACAGGCAGTCGACTGGAAGTTTTAGCAGCTGCTCCCTGTGGCCGAGACAGGCGCTGAGAGTTGCTGGTAGAAGGTGGTGGGGCCAAAGCTGGTCTGACAGGGGTAGGTGGGCCTAGGTGCAGAGTAGAGGAATTTTAGGGTGAGCTCTACATCCTCCCTGCTCCCAATCACCCACAGCTTTGCTGCCCAGGTCCTCTCACTTGCTGTTGCTCTCCCACTGGGCCCAGCTTTTCCCCGGATTGGAGGAATTGGTCGGGCAAGAGGAGAAGATGCTGGGCTTTTGGATGTGGGGAACAGATTGCAAGTGGGTGACTCCTGAAATACAAAGAGAGAGAGAGAGAAAAAAGGGGACTAAAATGGAAAAAGAATCTGTTCTGCTGGCTGATTAAAAGATAGCGGTGGAAAGTTGCCTAGATCCCAGTAAAGAAGGGCAGAAGTTAGCTGCCAACATCATCGCCACCACCAATACCATTTATTGAGAGCTAATTATAGACGTTATAGAGCTATGCGCAGACACACTGGTAAACACATGGCTTATGGTATCTCGTTTAGTTTCAACAGTTCTGCGAGGTAGAATTTTACTATCCCCATTCTACCAACGAGGAAACCACTGTATGCCTATACCGAATCATGCACTGCGTCTGGGGGCACACATCCAGCCCAGACCCTCTAAACTCACCCTCTTCATGCTGGAGGGCCTCTTTCCAGAGGTTGCCCAAAGAGCCCTGACTGACCCCTTCCTATCGCTGCTCCGGAGTCGGGGTGTCAGGCTGCTTGGGGAAGGGGTGCTCCGAGCCAAAGAGCTCACAGTGGGCAGCAGGTCGCGGACAGGACTGTCCTTCAGCACAAAGGTCTCCCGCCGAGGGCTGGGCTTCACCCTTCGAGGCCCCAGGCCCTCGCCTGTGGTCTCCCGCTCCTGCAGGGCACACCGCTCCAGCTGTGCTGCCAGCTTGTTGGCCTCATCGAGGATCTCCTCCAGCTTCTCTGGGCTGAGGTGGCCTAAGCTGAACCTCAGACCCTGGGGGGTGGGGGCCACTGCATTTGAGTCACTTCGGTGGGAGAGGCCTCGTCGGGGGGGTTTCTCCGGAGTCACCAACACTGCTATGTCTTCCTCCTCACGACTGAGACAGAAAACAAACCAGGCACCGTGCCCACACCACAGAGAGCAGGAGACTGTGCAAGGGAGACTGAGCAGAACCCACGACAGAGCTAGAGACACAACCCCAAACCATGATGCCAATGCCGGCTGTGAGATCTGACTTCTAGGTGATGAGACACCCGGTTCTAAGGCCTAATAGGCCTTTAGCATTTACTGACATTGGAAATTATGCCAGGATGAAGATGCAGCAAATCCATTTACCCTTCTCCTTCACTCCCTGCAATCTCATTCCAGCTTCTCCCGTCTTTCTTCCCCCGGTAGTAGTGTCAGAGGCCCAAGTAAACCAGTAACCCATCAGCCACAGCATGCCCAACCTTGCTAATTTACCAACCCAGGCCCCAGAGAGCAAAAATTCAGCAGCGAGGGGTTAGAGACAGAGGCATCCCTGGAAGAAAGTAAGCAAGATAAAGAGGCTGGTACCTGTCAGATGGTGACAGCCCTCCAAAGTCCAACGTCTCATCCACTATAAACTTCACATCTGTAGGGAGTCAAGAATGAACGCCAGCTTTGGGTCCCTAACGTGGTTCTCAATGGCAGGGCTTCAATCTTCCCTCCAGGGTTTCCTTACCTTCCTGCAAATCTCCCATGTTCCAGCCAGCAGGAGCAGGAGTCGGCTTAGACCTGAGCTGCAGAGAAAACATACCTTTCCTTAGGTCTCCCTCCTGCCCAAGGCCCCCAGCCAGATTCGGGGTGCGAGCCAAGGGGCTGGGGGTCATGCTGGAGGTAAAGCAAGCTTCTCAGAAGCGGCACCTGCCCGTTAGTACCGTTATGTCTTGGGAAGGTGCGCAGAGCTCTCCCTGCACCCTAATCCCCCTCTTAAGATTGACCTCCCGCCCCCCTGCAACGGGCCTCTCCTCACTGAGGGCGGTCTATGCGCTCTGTTTTCCTACCCGCCACCATCCTCCAGATCTTCCTCTCCCCAAGCCACCTCTCCACTCCCCGCAGCACCGTAGACACACCACACCTCCAGCCCACTCTCAGTTTTCGCTTTCCACTTCGCCTCACCTCCCGCAAACTGTGCTTTCTTCCCACAACTTAGTCCCGGGAATCTGCTCCGAGGGGGCGGGGCTCCTTTCGAATCTTTCAGGCCCCACCCACTCCTACCACATGCGCGCAGTGATTGGCTAATCCCAGCATTCCCCCGCCCCTTGGGGGCGGGGCAGCAGTGGAGAGCTGGCCGGAAGTCTGCAGGTGGGGGCCGTGTGAAGATCGGTTCCAAGAAAGACTCCATCCGGAGAGCTGGAGCGCGACGGGTGCGCGCGGGTGCCCGGGAGACCCTCGCAGGCCAGTGAATATGGGTTTCGTTCCCTGTCACCCCCTCTTCTCCCTCTCCCCGAACCGCTTGGCGGAGCCAGAGTGTGTGGCCCCAGAGACCGGCGTGGTCACCTGACGCCCTTCGCGGCCGTGGGCCCAAAAGCTAATGCTCTGCCTGAGGCAATTGGTTTTCTTGGGTTCACTCCATATGCAAGCACCGCGTTTGCCATATTTCTTCAGTGGTGATTTTTCTAAGTTATAGAAGCGCTTAAACACTGATATCTTAGTTATGTCGAGCTTCTTCTCTAAGAAGTACATCTTCCATGGCTTTTTAGGTAAGAAATTTCAAAACCCGAGGCAGCCAAGGTGTAAAAACAACGGGTTTTTTAAACGGAGATTTGGATTCAAATTCAACCGTGATCTTTTCGTTTACAAGCGAAGCAAGCTTGTCTCTTTTTATACTTAACCCCTCGGTTATCTCGGGACCATCACAGTTACATCGTTGGGGGATAATTAGGAATATCGAATTTTATGCCGTGTGCCTTAGAGGCTTTGAGGGGCTGTTTATAATTTGCTCCTCTTAACTCAAAGCTGTGTTTGTAAAATGCCTAAGCCTACTTGTTAGGGATTTTCTTTCTGTCGTTTTCAAATGTTGCCTGTGAATAGGCTGGGCCACCAGTTAACAGCTTCTTAGGAAAGTTCTAAAAATTAAATTAAAAAGGTCCTAAAAGTGGTTGAAGAGCTAGCCTGTAAACAAAGCCTGAGCGCTAGTCTCCAGCCTTTGTGACCATTATTATGGCCATTTATAGGCTTTTTTGTTTACTTCAAGGTTTTTAGCTGTGAAGTTGAGGTGCTGAAGTTTGCAAGAGTGAGATGTTACTGTAATAAATGCCACAGGAAGCAAAGGAGCCTTGATATTTAGTGGAGTGATAAGGGAAAGCGTGGGGAGGCCCAGAACTTGCAAGCTTCTGTGAGAGAGAGCTGAGACAAGAGGATTGCTGGCTGGGGAAAGTGGAATTTTAGTTGCTTGTAGGATTCAGGGTCTGTGGAGGTGAGAAAAACCAGTAGCGTCCCTCTGTCCAGGCAGGTAGTGGTGGAGTGGAGATCTGGGGGGAAGAAGCTGTTAATTAACTGCATTCTTTCTTCCCTTACGAAGAGCCTGATTTGGGGAACTCTACACTTACTTCTTCACCCATTTTCAGGTAAGTGGGGGAAGCAGTTTTGGCAAATTGCAAGTTAGTTTCTCCTAAGGAAACTCATCTCCAATTTCTTTCACCAAATTATGATTTTGAAAGCTGTTGCAGTATCAGAAAAAAGGCAGTAGAACTATTTTCTCTTCCAAATGACAACAAAGTCAGAAAATATAGATTTCAGATACAAGAATTCTTCACTCAACATAAGGCCACTAATTTGGGAAATATTTGCCCCCTGGAGCTGACATGTATGAAAAGATGCTTAAGATTTTGGATAAATCATAAGTGAATTAATGAAGAAATTACACCCCCTCTCAGGCACATGGTATGCCTTATTCAGAAGATACTCCACAGTGTCCAATGCATAAATGAAAAAATTCAGGATTCCAAAGCAGGTCTCCTTGAATGCAGAAAGATTAACTGTGACTGGGGGTCTGGTTTAGTGTAAAGAAGATTTTATTCCTTCATCATGAAGGTTGAGAATATATGAACTTTAAGGGGTGGCCATTGAGTACTTCAACAAATAGAGGCATGGGGCTGTTGGCTGAGGCCAGAGGTCTAAGTAATCTTAGGGCATTATAGCTGGGAATATTTCACTCCTTCCTCACCTAGCCAGGCCCTGCTTCTGTACGTGACTGGCTGGCTCTGGACTCTACTCCATCCCCCAACATTCTCAGCAGTGGTTAAGTACATTAGACCCTACAAAATGATTTGTGTAACTGTTTTCTAAATTTTCCCAAGGATTGTGGATAACTAGTAACATTTTAGATGTATAGGAAGAAGTTAATTTATGACATATAATGGATGCCTTGGGGGCATTGGGACTTAATTCTTACAGAACACCAGTTGAGAAAGGCTGGAATAGATACTTTGCTTCAACTTAAAACAGACCTTTGGTCTGAACAGAAAAGCCTTTCATACTCTTCTCAGTGGAAACACATCCCCTTCCTCCTTAAAATCTTACCTAATATATACTGGAACCTGGAAATCTTTTCTTCTTAAGCCCATACCTACTACAGTGGGGGTCACTTAGTAAAAGAGACGAGAAGAAATAGGGAAGGCTTGAGGTCAAATAGACCTGATTCAAATCCTGACTCTGCTACTTACCAGCAGTATACTTGGAGTAATTTATGAGGTTCATCTTATTCATTTGTAAAATGAAGACTAAAAGAGACAAAGTACTTAGTTCAATAATTGATACATAGAAGGCTGTTTCAGTAATATATTACTGTGTAACAAACCACCCCCATATTCAGTGAAACAATAGCAACCATTTATCTGCTCGTGATTTTACAATTTGAGCAGGGTTCCACAGGGACAACGTGTCTCTTCTCCACAAGTAGATTGGCTGGACTATGGCTAAAGGGTCCAAGGTGGCCACACATGTCTGGGGCTGTGGTGCTGGCTATCAGCTGGAATTCTTGGCTGTCTTCTACAAGACCTCTCATAATTCAGTAATCTATCCTGAAATTCCTTACATGGGAGCTGACTTCTAAAAGCAAAAGCAGAAACTACCTGATCTCTTAAGGGTTTGGCCCAGAACTGGTCCAGCATCACCTCTGCTACATTCTTTTGGTCAAACCAGGTCACGTGGTCAGTCCAGATTCAAGGGGAGGAGGAACAGACCCCAACTTTGGATGGGAAGAGTACCATGCTCATACTAGGATGAGACGAATTGTCATTGTCTTTTGCAGACTCCATCACAGAATGCCTCCACTATCTTACTTGTTTTAAGAATGAAAACAAATGTAAGC